ATTTTAATTAATTATTATATCATTTAATTTATTAAAAAACAAAAAAAAATGTAAATTCAATAAAAAAATGATGTAAGGACATAATAAATAATTATATTAAAAAAGTGTGAAATTAATAATTTAAAGTGTGACAATAACTTTACTCGACTTTCTAATAGATTTAGATTTTAAGTTTTCCAATCATTAATTAAACTAAATTAATTTTTTTTAAGTACATTAAGTTGATATAATGAGTGAACTGACTTTTAAGATCTCTCTTAAAAAAATTAATCTTAAGGTATTGCCAAACTAATCCAAAACCATCATAATTGTACAAATAAAATAAATTAATATTTTAAATCAGCTTGCATACATTAATTTAAGTTTACTCTGGTCATGTTAAAGATAAATTAATCCTCGAGCAAAAGTATACAATTTCATAGAAAGACTATATCATCACTTGAGACCTTATGGCGAATGGTTGGCAAGTTAATTGTAAAAATAAAATATTAGGCATGATTAACTAGATTATATCCCTTATCAGTTACGTGATTTGAAAAAGTTATTAAAATATTTTGGAGTATATATATTGTTCTTTATATGATTCTTGGGTGTAGGGTTATTAATTCTTGTGCTGAGGATTGACGCATTGGTAATGAATTGGGTATTGGAATTCTTAGACATGTAATTAGGGCCATTTTGACCATTGACGAGCGTGGTGGATAAATATGCTTAATTAATTAAGTATAACAAAGAGAATCTTTATAAAGAAAGAATAATATAAAAAATCTAACTTAATAGGCGTTGTAGTAATAGAAAATACTATATTGTTATGCTTTTTGCTCCCTCGTATTAGGAGTAAGCAGTGAAATACATGAGATTTTAAAAAGCGACAGTAAAACTTTAAAGTAATTTGTTTATAACATTCATGGCCTATTGATGTTCCTATGGTTTTTATTTTATTAATACTTGAGAATGTTTGCATTTAATTGTTCATATTTATCATAAATAATAATTCTTTGTATTAATGCTATAAGTACCTTTTAATGATTTGTATTTCTTTATTTAGCCTATGTGGTGTTGCATCGATCGTATTTAAACTTTTTTCTTAATAAAATTATCTTAATAAAACTATACAATTCTTATAAAAAACCTCAATAGGGTTTGATTTGAGAAAGTCGGACCACTAATGATATAGAGCTTTGGAGCATCAAGAAGGGGCTTGAAAATTTGAAATTGCTGTTGCAAGAGGATTTAGGAAACTAGAAATTGAATTTGATTCTGTTTTTGCAGTTAATGCTTTGAATCATCTAACCTCTTTATACTTAACTCTTTGCATATTGTTGATTCAAATGCTCAGTTAAGTGTGTCTCCATCTTATTGATGATTGACTGAAGATTTAATTTTTTGGAATGTTAATAAATAACTAATTATTTATAATTCTCTAATTTTATTATGAATGATTTATTTTTAATCAGAAAAAAAAAAGACTTAAAAATAAATTATAGTATTTTGAAAATACTCTATCAGTTAAAAAAAAAGGGAGACAATTTAGAAAAATTATTTTTAAAAAATGGTATTTCTAATAAGTGCAACTGAAGCGGGGAAACCGTCCCCTTCTCCTTTTGCAATCTCATATCCCTTCTTAACCACCCACTAATTCGGGTTTTCGAAGGAACAATTAAACCCTAAAATTGCCATCACTTTGAAGATTCTCGAAAGATTCAAAAGCTATTGCTAACTAGATTCGTCGAAAACTCTAGTTTATCCCGTTAAGCAGAGGATAGCATGCGACTGGATTTCTAAGGGACGTGGCCGTGTTTTGGAACGCTAATAGGTTAAGGGAGATTGTCGGTGCAACAATGTGAACCAGGGCGCTCTGTTTCTTGAAGCTCTGTTCCAATTCTTGTTGGGTTAAGAGACCCCATAACATGCCCTGCTGATTTCGAACCATGCAATGTGCTAAACTCGAGGTTTTGCTGATATCTATTTGGGCTCCTTTGTTAGTATTTCATTGGTAAATGTTCAATTTTTCTGTTCAATTCCTTTCAATTTAATGTCCCTCTAAAATGGTGCCTCTGTATTTAGGATTGCTCTTGCATCTTTTGTAATTATTTCAACACATCAACAAGCACAGATTTGTAATAGATACTGCTTTTCACCTAATCACACATTTTCCTTATGAGTATGCTCTGTTTAAGCCCAACTACATATCCTAATGATTGAGTTATTTATTTCTGAGTGGGACTGTGATATGTCTTCCTAGAGACAAGAAATTAATGGAAAAATTGTTGTTCTTTAGGCTCACTGTGAGTACAGCATCCCACCACATTCATGGGAGTTGAATTTACCAAGGTGGATGTGTCCATAAAGAAACTGGTGGGATTCATATGCGGGGTGGACATCCATCCTACATCAGGAAGGTGTGTATTAACAAAAACATATACATAAAAGATGCATGGACATGATAGCTTATTATAGGCAAATTGTTCTTGGAATGGGCAATAATAGACCAAGGAAGGTGTGGTCCTATTTGTTTATGGTTATAGCACGGTCTTTATGGAATGCACGCAATAATCTTATTTTCAAAAATCAAGATGTTTTAGTGGAAGCAATATTCAAGAGCATCCAAATTAAATCATTCTTGTGGCTTAAAGGAAGGGTTAAGGGCTTTACATATTCATATTATGAATGGAAATATAATCTTGTAGACTATGCTACAATTATCTCATAGACTAGGGAGTGGATTTTGCTTGTGTTTGTTGGGGTGTGTTAGTGATGTAAGTTAATGAGTCAGCAATGATGATGATGTGGAGGCTGATTAGGATGCCACTTGTGAATGATGAGAAGGGTCTTTTTGGCAGCACTCATTTCACATGTGAGAGGCTATGTGCCATGGGCTGTCTCGATCTACCCAACGGTGTTGAACATCAATAAGTTCTCCAACAAAGTCTGAGGGTATAAACTATCCAACCAAGCTGAAATGAGGAGAAAGAGAGAGAGCTAGGTTGCGATGATAAAAAAAATTTGAACCCTCTGGTTGAAGTAGATGTGTTGTAAGTAATTCAACATGGTTAGAGCAAAACTTCAACCAAGAAATTTGATGTTTTTGATGAAGTTTCGACAGAGGTAGATTCAAACATAGCTAGAACAAAATTCCAACCAAAAGAGTTGATGTTGTTGATAAAGTTTTGACATAGATAAAACCAAGCATGACTAGAGTGAGAGTCCAGCCAAGAACTTCGATATTGCTGTCGATGATACTCTAATATGAAAGATAAGTTATGTGGGCCCTTGAGTTGGGGCCACATACATTGTCAATTTTAAAGTGATACAAATTCATTCCTCAATAATATTATATACATTTTGAGGATTGAGGTTGATGCATTAATACTTATGTAACCAATTTGAGGTATCCCTTACACTTCACTAATAAATTATTTTTTGGTGATAAAAAAAAAAAATGGACATGATAACTTAAACTTTTAGGTTCAAGGCAGCGTCCAACATGTATGTATTAGCCTATAACATATGGCTACTAGGTCTCATGTCTAAGCATTAGTTATTTGGCTCTGGTTATGGCCACTGGCGAAGAAGCCCACCAACATTCTATCTTTTGTTTTGTTAAATTATTTATTTGTCCATTTAATTTAAGGGGACACATATTTTCCAACTTTACTTGACATATATTTTTTCATTGGGCTTTTTTTATTTGTACGGTTAAAAAATAGATTAAGAATATTTTTTTAACATTAATTGAAGTTAAAAAAATAAAATTTAACATTTTTTAATTAATAATTTAATTAAAACAATTTATAATCATAATGACAAAATTAATATTAATTTTTATTATTTTTATACTAATTAATATAAAAAAATATTAATTATATTTTTAACTTATATTTTGAAAATATAAAATAAATAAATTCTTTTTAATTTTACCCCTCGTCACTTTTGTCCTTATCTTAAATGGACAAACAAATAATTTAACAAATTAAATAAAAAATAAAATATTAGCGGCCTCAACGCCTAGGCTAGCCATAACCCGGCCCATTTATTTAGGTAAAGAGAAGTTCAGGTGCTGAGCTTACGACAAAGCAGTAAATAGTCAGATTTATTTATTATGAGAATAATATTTTCTCTTTTGTAAAGTCATTGTTTTATGTGAAAAAGAAAAAAGAGTAATGGTATTTTTAGATAGAAATCCTTTACACCTCTCAAAGTGGTCCAAAAGGACGATCATACAATTTAAGAAGTCATGATCTTTTCGCTTCCAGAGATATCCGTTTGGCAAAATTTTAACAGAATGCAACCACCACCTTGATTACCATAGGTTGTTCGTATTCTTCATAAATGGTGGCCATCACCATATACCTGCATACTGCCATATGAATATTTAATTACATTCCCAGAAGGCGGTTTTTCCTTTCATCAGTGAAGGATGCTATTCTTGTTTTCCTCCACTAAGTTCCTACACAAAAATCTAGGCCTATGATCTCCTTTTCTTTGTCTTAAAACCTCATCTTCCATTGAATTGTTGCCTTTTCTGTATACAAAGCAAGCTCCCATAACCGTCCATTCATTTGGCCATCATTCCATTCTCTCAAACCTAGTTTTTTCACTTCTTTTGTGTGAAAGAGAGGAAACGTGAGAGCTCAGAGTTCTCTGCAGGTTCTCCCAAACACTTCAAACAACCATGGCTTCTCCAGCCTCAGAACCCACCATGGTTTTGGAAATGTTCGACCTTGAGAAACATGGCTCCACTGAAAGGGTTCAGTGGGTGCTGAATACCCCCAAGCCGCCAGGTCTAGGCCGTGAGCTCATAGAAACTGCTTTTCCTCGTGGAAACAACATTCCACCTCTTAGCAAACAGTCTGCGAGGAAACGCATAGTTTCTGTCTTGCAGGCAACATTTCCCATACTCTCTTGGGGTAGAAAATACAAGGCGGTCAAATTCAAGAACGACTTAATGGCGGGCCTAACTCTTGCAAGCCTCTGCATTCCTCAAGTAAGCAGATGTTTGACCTAAGAGTACTGCTGGGATTAATTAACATATCTGTTTATCAAAGTTTTTCATTGTGTACAGAGTATTGGATATGCAACATTGGCAAAGCTCGATCCTCAATATGGCCTCTGTAAGCAACCATGCACATTGAATCCCTTGATTAGTATTCTGCTTTGTCTCCTATTGATTTTCTCTAATCTGTTCAGACACTAGTGTTATCCCACCTCTCATTTATGCTGTGATGGGAACTTCAAGAGAGATAGCCATTGGACCAGTCGCTGTGATTTCGCTGCTTTTGTCTTCAATGGTACAGAAAATAGAAGATCCTGTTGCTAATCCTGTTGGTTACCAGAAACTTGTGATAACTACAACTTTCTTTGCGGGTGCCTTTCAAGCTGTTTTCGGAATATTCAGGCAAGTTGTTTGTTGGTGTTTTTTGCTCTTCTTCCTCCTCTTTTCTAATGATTTTGCACAATTTTTCAGGTCTGGTTTCCTTGTGGATTTTCTCTCACATGCTGCAATCGTTGGGTTCATGGGAGGAGCAGCCGTTGTCATTGGTCTTCAACAGCTGAAAGGGCTTCTTGGGATCAATCACTTTACAAACAAGACTGATGTTATTTCTGTGATCAAAGCTGTGTGGAGATCGTTTGAGCATCCTGTATTCTTGATTACTTTGCTTCTCTTATATCTTATTGCAGATCAAAGCTTTCTTAATATATATTAACAAGACTATTTTGTTCATGCAGTGGAACCCTTACAATTTCATTCTTGGTTGTTCATTCCTCTGTTTCATCCTAATCACTAGATTTATGGTAAGTACAATCAGTATTTGATTTAGAAAGTCTCAGGCCTTTATGGAAACTATCTTTCAAAAATTTACTTTGGGATTCTACAGGGTCGGAGAAACAGGAAACTCTTTTGGCTGCCAGCCATTGCTCCTCTGATATCTGTCATCTTAGCAACTCTCATTGTCTTCCTGACAAGAGCTGATGAACATGGAGTTAAGATAGTGAAACACATCAAAGGAGGCTTGAATCCGAGTTCAGTGCACCAGCTGCAGTTCAAAGGGCCACATGTAGGAGAAGTAGCCAAGACTGGTTTGATTGTTGCTATGGTAGCGCTGACGGTCAGTGTCAAAATGTTTTCAAACCTTTTCGAAAAAGTACCATTAGAACATCTCTATAACTCCAATTCTGATGTCAATCTTAGGAAGCAATTGCTGTTGGTCGGTCTTTTGCCTCTGTAAATGGATACCACCTTGATGGGAACAAGGAAATGGTAGCCATGGGAGTCATGAACATTATAGGCTCTTTCACCTCCTGCTATGTTGCCACTGGTAAAAACAAAACTTTAAAGAAAATGGTATTACAGATATCTGCAGTGATTCCTTAAGCAATATAATTTTGCAGGTTCATTCTCGCGAACGGCTGTGAATTACACTGCAGGATGTGAAACAGCAGTGTCAAACATAGTGATGGCTGTTACAGTTCTAATATCATTGGAGCTATTGACAAGGCTATTGTATTACACTCCAGTGGCAATTCTTGCTTCAATCATTCTCTCTGCTCTTCCTGGCCTCATTGACGTCAATGAAGCTTACAACATTTGGAAGGTTGATAAGCTCGATTTCCTTGCTTGCGTTGGAGCCTTTTTTGGAGTCCTCTTTGCATCTGTGGAGATTGGTCTTCTTATCGCGGTAATATTCATTCTTCTTCACCTCTCATTTTATGTGAGATTTTTTCTGATAATCTTTATTTACTTCTGTTTAAGTGCTGAAGAAGAATGACATCTAAACAGTTGAATGCCCCGTTTGGATAATGTGCTTCACCCAAAGTGGCAAACTTAGAGCATTATGACTTGTGAATATTGATCTCAAATCAATAAAACATATAGAAATTTGGGTCCACTGCTATTGATGTGAACTGCTTTTGATGTGAACTGCTTTTCCTTATCGTGTTGGGAGAATATAAAATGGATCCTATCCCAAACTACCAACACACTTAATACCATTTACTATTTAGTTCCGCTTTAGTTTACCCTTGAGGAAAAATGAAAAGTAGGGGGAATAAGCATATGCAGATTAAAGTGGTTTGATTATTAATGCAGGTAACAATTTCCTTTGCAAAGATAATTCTCATCTCAATCAGACCAGGAACTGAATTTCTCGGGAAGCTTCCGGGAACGGATATTTATAGTGATGTAGATCAGTATCCTATGGCGGTTAAAACTCCTGGGGTCTTAATTTTGCGTCTCAAGTCTGCATTGCTTTGCTTTGCAAATGCAAATTTTGTTAGAGAAAGGTATATATACGCATACTCCCACGTAAGATAAATTGCTACAACAAATGAACAAGAGTAACATTTTTGTTTTGCAATTTTATGTGAAGGATTATGAAATGGGTAGAGCAAGGTGACACCAAGACCAACTCAGAAAAGGCTATTCAACTTGTAATTCTGGACCTCTCGAGTAAGTGTTTTCATGACTTAAAAGTAACAAACTTAGTTGAACTAATGAATGAAGATGACACGATATATATCTTCGTTTGATAGGCTTGATGGACATAGATACATCAGGAATTGCTTCTTTGGTGGAACTGTACTAGAATCTTGATTCCAGTGGGATGAAGGTAAGGCAATATCATCTCTTACTTTTAAACCAAGATGACTGGATATTAAGCGATTGCATGTGAATTTTGACCCCCTTTTGTCATAATGTCTCAGATGGCCATTGGAAATCCCAGGTGGCAAGTGATTCACAAGTTGAAGATGGCCGGCTTTGTGGACACATTCGGAGGAGGAAGGGTCTTTCTAAGTGTAGGAGAAGCTGTGGATGCATTTAAATAAATTCTCCTCCTCAAAGTCTTCTTTATCGGTATGCACGAAATGGGTTGCATAATTAACTAAAGAATAAAGGCTCCTTTCCTCCCAACGGATCAATGGGGAAAGGAGTAAGAATATTATCTAGATGTAGATTTGAAGTATATATTATGAGGCTTGAACTTGTTGTATTCCTAAATAAGAGAAGGC